ATTATTTCAAAGCAAAGGAACGAGTGAACGGGAGGTGTAATTGCTGGAAACCTTTTGTCTTTTTCAGGCTCGGATGCTGCAGAAGTAGCATTTGGTTTGTAGGCAGTGTAGTTAGCTGATTGTATCCGTTTCCTCGAGCAATCACTAGCTTCACTGTTATCAAAACAAGGCGCAGAATTCCCCCAATGGCAGACCTCACCAGCGCTGCAGAAAACATCCGGAAAGCTGGTTCTCGGCTTGAACCCAAAGAATTACTATCTGTCTCTGTTCATAATATCCTGTTTCTTCGTAGAAGCCACCAGCTCACCAGCAAGCAAGACAAAGGGGCTTTTAAGAGATGATGCTGACTCAAGGAAGTACGCTGGATGGTCGCCAAGAATCTGTGTTGCTGCGTGACCCGCAACATTAGGAACACACTGGCAGCCTTGTTACGATTTTAGCACTGGTTGGGCATAATCCTGTCACAGCAGAATTTGGCCAGGGTTGAATGGGATGGGGTGGAAGGATCAGAGCCCTGGAATCAGGAAGAAGCAAAGCACCAGGGGTGAAGTGGGAGAGAGAAGCAGACAGAGGCCAAGTGCCAGTCTAAGGCAGGCAAAAAAGGCAAGGTTCCCAAAGCAGCCGTGTGCCTGAGGAAGCGGAACCTGCCAAATAATTCTGTACAGGAAGGAAGAGCATATGGGACATGCCATTTATAGAGCATGGTGGAGCTACATTGGTTTTCTGGGTCACCTGACTGGGTAGTGATGGAGTCAGTGGGTGAAGTTTCGTAACGCTGCTCAGGGGTCACCTCTGGACGCTCCTTCTGCCTAAATGGTGTAGGAAGCAAGGCCTTGGCATCCTAGTCTGAGGGACCTAGCCTTTCACAGCCTTTGCCAACCCGGTGCCCTCCTGGACTGCAACCCCCGGCAGTCCCAGCCAGCACACCGGCACCAGGTTGGCAAAGGCTGCCTTACAAATCCAGTGTTAGTGGTCACCTGGCCTGAATTTGCTGCTGGAGGACAGATATCCTGCAACCGTATATTTAAGGTCTAGTTTTCCTATTATGCTACATAAACCACAGAGTAGGGGAGCTCACTCTGCATACGCAACTCCTTTTAATATTCCCCACTTCTTGTGTCTCTCCCCTTTATCACAAGAGGAGAGAGCAGTATCATAGGAACCTGGTTAGCATGGGATGCTCTCTTTGCAATCAAGAGTTGACAGAAGTGAAGCAAGTTGTATGTGGTTGCATCTGATTCTAGCTTTTGTCCATATGCAATGCTCAAAGTCATTATCGATCACACATTTGGGAACACTGAAGGCTCCTCCATCCTTTCAGCCAGCCTTGACTTTTTTCCAACATCTAAACCAATGTATTGGTTTTGAAATGGAGCATGAATTACTATGCTTTGGGGGCAGAAAGAGTTGGGCAGAGTGGCCTTTTTCAAAGATAGTGCTCGTTTTCTTCAAAGATAGTGCTCGTTTTCTTCCTTACGCCATGTAAGGGAATAGGAGACAGGTGATGTTTCTTCTCCTTGACATGCCTGGGGAGCAGAGCAAAAAGGAGCACCAGCAGTTTGATCCCTGCTGAAAGAACTATGTGCAAACAGTAGATAGAAGTGAAATACTGCTGAAATTTTTGGGGGAGTAAATGGTGGCTGCCTGAAAAAGTATTGTTGTTATTTTATGCACTCTTCACCCTAAGGAAGTGCAAACATATTCAGAAGCTAAAGGAGGGATGGGGAACCTGCCATCCTCCAGATGTTGTTGGACTCCAACTCCCTTCAGCCCCAACCAGCATGGGATGATGGGAATTGTAGTCCAATGAAGCCTGGATGGCCACAGGTTGAAGAACACTTAACTAGATTTATATGAGTCCTTTCCAACTCTGTGATTCTATAATAGCAATTGCAAGACCACCATCACTTTTTTCCACTTTTTTAATGTAAAGGGTATTGTGCCCTATTAAATGTAAAAGGTATTGTGTATTCTGTTGGTGTAACATACATAATGCAGAGGAAGCATCCTGCCCCATTCTGTGCAAACATACCATTTTGTCTTCAGCGCAGGGTTCAGACTGAGCCCTCTTTTTGAAAATTAACCGTTGAGTTGGATGTATTTTCTGTAAGATCTAACTACAAAATGTAGGCTTCAATCCAATTGCTGTCACTTAAGATAATGTGGGAGGCTCGCAGAGTTAAGGAGGAAATTAGGCTGCTGGAAAGAGTCTAAACACCAGCCTTGTTACCAGGCAGTGTAGTTAGCTGACTGACGAAGGCAACAGTCACTAACAACACGGCCAGGTAAAATGGCCTGTCTCACCTCTGACTAGGAAACACGACTGTTTGCATGGAAGCATTGGCAACTGAGGCCTGGAAGTAGCATTCTTTGAAGAAAAATCAATACAGAAGGTAAAGAGCTGAAGAGGTCCCCTCCAGAAGATGGCACCTATGTACCTCATATGTACCTGCTAGACCACATAGATCTGGGAACTGGCGCTTCTAAGCGCCACAGTTTGTTCCACTTGCAAGGAATCAATTCTTCAGTGTGGCAGCCTCTACTCTTTGGAACACCCTGCCTCACTGAAACTACCTTTGCTGCATTGTTATCAGTGCCTGCTAAAAATGTTTATCTTCCAGCACACCTAACGAGACATGTAATTTTAGCATACAATTGTGATATGATTTTCTGTGTAATGTGATTTTAGTAAGCATACTTGCTTTTAAATTACTGGTTTTATCACACACAGAGAGACACGCATATATATGTAAACACTTTTTAAATGTTTTTATTGGTATTTTTAATTAATATTTCAGATTGTCTTTTGCAAATCGCTTAGAGGTCTTTTGAATCCGTGTTGCATACATTTTGTTAAATAAAAAGTTAAACCTGCCTGCCATTCTGCTAAACTATCAAGATGGTTATTCTGACTCCATTATTATTTATTAGCTTATTGTTAATTTACAGGGCCCCATGTATGTGTTGCCCAGCCTATACTCATATTATGCGCGGGCCAGAGATACACCGCCCCTATCCCTGTAGAACGGCTACTGTATCCAATGCATACTCAGTTCACATGGGAGGAAAGACACCACACCAGAAAACAGCAGGAAAATGACAGACACCTCCACCCACATCCCAAAGCATTCCTGAAAACTCTGCAAATACCCACCAATTGGGCATCCTGTCAACAGTGGCGCTCACGAGGTGCCCACCTACAAATGCTGGAAATGAGTTCAGTGATGGTGATACAGCCTCAATGAATCAGTGAGCCCTAGCTCAGTGGTAAAGCATCTGCTTTGAATGCAAAGAGGTTTCTGGCTCAACCCCCAGCCTCTCCAGGTAGGGCTGGGTGAGAACTCTGCTTGAAACCCTGCAGAGCTGCCACCAGTTAGTGTCAACAACACTGTGATTGACAGACGAAGACAGCCAATTCGATACAAAGCAGCCGTCATGTTTCCCTGAACACAGACAACACGCAAGATGCCACATTGTGGACTACAATTCCCACCAGCCCCTGCCAGTATGGTCAATGGTGAGAGATTATAGCACTTGCAATCCAACATTTGGAGAGCATCATGTTGGTTACACTTTTTCTGGAGCAACCTTTGCCAACCTGGTGCCCTCGAGATGTTGTTGGGCTACAACTCCCATCAGTCCCAGATAGAATACTGTGCTGGCTGGGACTGATGGGAGTTGTTTTCCTGCAACATCTCAAAGATGCCCAGTGCTATTCTGCTACAAAAAAATGGTGCCAATACTCACCAGTTGTTAGAGTGCCACATTTTTAACCAGTACTTTTCTTCCAGAAAAAGGTGCCCTGTGTACCTGATGATGCCCATTAAAAGTGGGCTCTTTTGGGGGGGGGGAGGTTGCAATCTTTTTGTTGTGAACCACCCTGAGATCTGTGGGTAAAGGGCAGACCCTCCAAGTGTCCCTATTTTCCAGGGACAGCCCTGATTTTACAATAAGCCATCCCGGTTTCTGATTTGATCCCAGAATGTCCCCTTTCCCTTAGGACGCCCCTATTTTCATCAGAGAAGTGTTGAGAGGGTGTGGAGTTATCCAACCCCCGAGCAAACTGAAAGGCAGCCCTGTATAGGAAACATTTTAAATCATGTTTTTATATGTGTTGGAAGCCGCCCAGAGTGGCTGGGGCAACGTGGTCCGATGAGAGGAGTACAAATGGTAAAGTTATTATTATGGAATGGGACATCCCTATTTTCATCAGAGAAACATTAGAGGGTATGGAATTTAATAAATAGGAAACAATGAAATAATTACAGACCCTGAGGGTTTTTCTTTACAATGGAGGCAGTACAGAAATGAATGTTATGAAATATTATGTCTCTCTTTTCCCGGTTGTTGCTGTTCTCCATCATAATATTTTACAAGGACAGGAAGGAACATCACGGACAGAATAATTGCCACACACAGGAAGAACAAGGATATATAGTTTGAGTGCCTCACCTGTAGTTTTATCAATCATTTAATGTGTCAATACGAATGGAAGTTGTTAATATTGCAGTTGTTGTATAAGGGATTGTTACTTTGACTGGAGTGTGAGTGAAATTAGTAAGATTTTGGAACGCAGAAATAAAGTCATCAATCCATCAATTCTAGCATGCGGGGATAGGGCACTTATATTCATAGCTGTCAACTTTCCCCTTTTTTTAAAGGGAAATTCCCTTATTCTGAATAGGATTCCTTGCAAGAAAAGGGAAAAGTTGACAGCTATGCTTATATTATAATTTGGTATATGAATGATTGGTATTGGTAATTGTATTATAATTTGGCGTTGTTATAATGAGACTATTATTGGATTGCAATGGAAAACTAATACAAATTATATATATATGAATGTTATGAAACGAATAGGAGACAAATAGGAATATCCCGAGGCCCAGGCCGCGCCACCTTTCCCCGGCCACCCCGCTTTCTGCCTCTACTCCGAATCCCCCTTCATCCGGGGCAGAGGGAGGCCCAGAGCGACGGTTGCCAGAGGGAGGCAGGTGAGCCTCCGGAGCGCAAGGGAGGGAAGGAGAGCGCGAGGCCTCCTCCTCCTCCGGGCGCCATGGAAACGCCGAGGCCGGAGACGCCGAGGCCTGAGGCCCCTCCGACGACGGCAGCCGCGGCCGCCATGGCTTCTCCGACGCCGCTGCCTTCTCCCGCCTTCCTGGCCTTCACGGGCTCCTGCGAGCAGGACGTGACGCTGGCCAAGTCCTTCTGGAACTCCGTCACCCTCCAGCCGCCGCTCGAGTCCCGCCTGGGGCCGCGAAGGGACTCGGCCAGCTGCTCCAGCTCCAGGAAGGGCTCCCGGGCGGAGGCGCCGAGCGGCACCAGCCTGCAAATTCCCCGCTCCCCCGACAACAGTGAGGAGGGAGAAGAAGCTGCCTCTCTCCCCTCGCCCCCCCTTCTTTTCTCCGGGCAGGGCTTCCTCCTCCCCGCTGGCTCCGAGCGAGGGGACAGTCAGGGTGCCCCGGGGCACGTGCAGAGTGCATGTCCTTTCTCCCCTGGGAAAAAGGGGCGTGGCCTGCGGGCGCATCCTCAGCCCTGGGCCTGTTTTGTTGTGTGTACTGTACAGGGACGCGGGTGGCGCTGTGGGTTAGCCCACGGAATGGGTCCGCAGTTCGAATCCCCAAGGGTCCCTGCTCCTGCCCACCTAGCAGTTTAAATGCACATCAAAGTGCAAGTAGATAAATAGGTACCACTCCGGCGGGAAGGTAAACGGCGTTTCCATGTGCTGCTCTGGTTCGTCAGAAGCGGCTTAGTCATGCTGGCCACATGAGCCGGAAGCTGTATGCCGGCTCCCTCGACCAATGAAGTGAAATGAGCGCCGCAACCCCAGAGTCGGTCACAACTGGACCTAATGGTCAGGGGTCCCTTTAACTTTACCTTTTACTGTAGAGTGGTACCTTGGTTCTCAAACTTAATCTGTTCCAGACGTCCGTTCCAAAACCAAATGAACAAAGTAATGCAAAATAGATTAATCCATTCCAGACTCTTAAAACTAACCCCTAAAACAGCAATTTAACATGAATTTTACTATCTAATGAAACCATTTTGATCCATAAAATGAAAGAGATAAGCAATGTACTGCAGTCACACAGTCAATCAATCAGTAGCTGAACTGGGTTACACACGGTCACAGAAACGAAACAAAAAGCCACAAAATAGCAAAAACGGACAGACCTCCGCATAACACTCAAAACAGAAGTGCAGCAGTCAAATCAGAAACAACACTCAAAACGGAGCACATTCGGCTTCCAAAAAATGTTCACAAACTGGAACACTTCTGGGTTTGCAGTGTTTGGGTTCCAAGTTGTTTGAATACCAAGGCGTTTGAGAACCAAGGTACCACTATTGTTTTATTGCACTTCCCTCCAAGGAGCTCAATGTGGCCTACATGGTTCTCTCCATCTTACCCTCCCAGCAGCCCTGTGGGGTAGGTTAGGCTGAGAGAGGCTTGAGTGGGGATTCGAACCCTGGTCTTGCAGGTCCTAAGTCCAGAAAACTGCTACTAGGAGTGTATATTTAATTGGTTCTCACAACAACCCTGCAGGGTAGGATAGTCTGAGAGAGGGACAGATCCCCACAAGTCACCCAGGGAGCTTCGTGGCTATGTGGGCCTCGCAGGTCCTCATCCAACATTTTAACCACACTTGTTCAACAGTCTCCCCTTCTATTAGTCGAAGTTACTACCATGCACCGCCATCTCCCCATCTTCTGGGGTGTTACTGTTCTATTCATGGGGTCTGGGCATAGCTGTCAACCTTCCCGTTTTTTGCAGGAAATTCCCTTATTCCAGTGCCGTTTCCCGCTGCTATCCCGGATTGTTAGATAGCCCGTAGACTGTCCCTAGGACAAGCGAGGCTGCTGATCCCTTATTTTCAAGGCTACTGATCCCTTATTTTCAAATCTGAAAGTTGACAGCTCTGGGTCTGGGTGAGCATCCTCTGTTACATCTAAGGCCATCCCTTCAAACTTATCTACCTTTTAATCATTAGGAGCCCCCATCTGCCTGCAGAGTAATCAGGTGGGATAGCAGAGGCATCCCTTTGTTAAACTGGAGAAGACACTGTGGGGGGGGGGGAGGTGCAGGAAGGAATCACTGTTTTTCTCCTCTTACTGATAATTGCCCGTGGGTTGCCACCCCAGTTTCCTGAGGGCATCGGATAGCCCCCTTTGCCTGTAAGTCCTGACACCAGCCCACATATTCTCCAGTCAACCCGCAGTTCACTTCACAGGATTGATTTGAAATGAATGCAGGGTCTCTTTGCCCTAGGAAATGATTTTCCATTTCTTCTCCAGATCACCCCACTATTTAATGTGCCTCCTCTTGGCCACAGGAGTACCCAAAATTTTCATTTCTTTAAAAAAGAAAATCACTTTTCAGCAGATTTAGAAGTAGCTCCTTTTAGGTTTGCCTGCAGTGGGTAGGAATTGCCTGCAGGTGACTAGACGAGAGATCTTTGGGGAAATTGGCTCTATTCTGACTAAAAATGGACAGCTGTTCCTTTTTTGGGGAGTCTACCTTAACCATTCACCCTCCTCATCTGCCTTCATTCTATCTTACCTTCATTCTATCTTATCATTGTTTGCTTAGGTATTAGTGGCTATTGCTCCATACAGTTTTGAATTATTCCGTAAATGGGGCTTATTCCCAGGTAAATGGATTTAGGACTGCAACCTCACTGTTTTACTTTCATTTGTTTTATTTAGAAAAAGAAGATGACAAAAGCACAGAAAATAGTGTTGCTGGGGAAAGTGATTTGAAGGAACAGTATATTAAGAAGGTAAGATTCCTTCCTTCTCGGAATAATAATAATAGTAACATGTTTGTGTTTTATTTTTCAGTGTCTTTCCTGAAAAATGATTAGAATTCAAGTAGATAATTATATACATGTAGATATTTCTATATTGTTTGTACAGGTTAGCCCCTCCACTCCAGAAGCCTTTCTATCTGATTATCTCTTTCACTGAAGAAATTGAGATAATTAAATTGCATTGTAAATCTGAGAGAGAGGAAGACATGCAAGCACATTGGATTAGAAACATAAATTTGAAAAGATTGAAATGGCCTTTCTTCAAGATTTGCGCTGCACCAGTGATTGGGCAGAAAAATAAGCAAGCTTTTTATTGCTGCATCAGAGAGAGAGAGAGAGAGAGAACTGTATTCTTGGCCACCCCCTGTTCCCCAGTCAATCGTTTGAGCCCAGAAATGCATTTTACCAGACAAACCCAATGCCACTTAGCAACAGGTACTTAATTATGGACAGGGCTGTATTAAAATAATCATAAATTCTGTATCCGCGTCTAGAGACTTAGTAAGAAAAGCTGGCTTTGGTAACCTGTGTAATTTATGTGCAAATCTTACTCAGCTGCTCCTCTGACTTTGGAGTTTTTAGCAGCCATAGCCAATGCATGTTCAAGCATATCTTTGCAGCCGTGAGGGATACAAACTTGATTTCAAAAGAAATGAAAGCTAATATTCTCAGCTGGATTCTTTGCTCACTAAAGCACCTTGTTTTTGTGGCTGTTCAGTTTCGTGTGCTCCTGGCCCTGTATATGGAAAAGGTGTGTTTGGGTATGGGTACATGACAGGGGCATTGCATAGAAATCTCTTCTTTTTTTCCTTTTTGCGCACAATTCTTGAAAGCATTTTGTATTCCTAGCATAGGCGCCGACTCCATGGGGCTTGAGGGGGCCCGAGCCCCCTCAAAAATTCGTTTGGGGGGGCTCCGCCCCCCAATAATCTCCGGCGCCCCTCCAGCAGAGCGCCATCGCCGCCCCTCCCCCAGCCCAAAATGCACAGGGAGGGGCGGGCTGCATGCCTCCTGCCCTCCCTCCCGAGCAAAAGCTCCACCCAATTTCCTTTGGAGCTGATTAATAGGCGCAGCACGCTCTCCCCTATTCGCTCACGAGGAGGCGGCGCCACTTTATTTGCATATTCATGAGCTAATTTATTATTCATGAGCTTTCCCGGGCCCCCCCCAATATTTTTTATAAGTCCGCGTCCCTGATCCTAGTGAGTGAAACGGAGGGCAAACCGTTTCCAACCCTTGATTAAAGTTTGGATAGCCTGCCTTGGGCCATACAAAATTGCTTTGTGAGACAGATCCTGCCCACCAGCTGTAAGTTTGCCATTCCTGCTGCACACTGAGTATATCCTGACTGCAACACAACCTTGGTATGGGCCAGTGGATATTGATTTGGATTTAGGTGTAAGGAAAGGGCAGTGGTTCAGTGGCAGAGGGACATCTGCTTTGTGTGCAGAAGCTCCCAGATTCAATTTCCAGCATCTCCAGGTAGGGCTGAGAAGGATTCCTCCCTGAAACCCTGGAGAGCTACTGCCAGTCAGTGCAGACAATACTGAGCTACATGGTCCAATTCGTAGGGATGCCAGGGAGCAGAAATTGCTGGTGCTCACTTATTCATCTCATGTCTGGAATAGAAAACAGCGTTTACTGCTGTTATTGCTTTCAGTCCACAATGATACACAGTAGATTAAGTTTCTTCCCTATTTGCATTCAACTTCCTCTGCACTGAAATGGGTGGGGTGAAATAATGTTAAGACAGCGTAAATTACATTACTAATTACAGCAGGACGAAAACAGGGCTGCATGCGGCAAATACAGAATGGAACGGGAAAGTGATGCCTTCTTACAGCTATACTGATTCAGTTTAAAGCAGATTCCTTGTGGGATACCTGCGTTCCAAAACCCATCTTCGCCCCCAAATTACTGAAATTTACGTAGACTTGACTTGAGAATAATGGTGATTTTCCTCACAGAGCTTTGGAAGAGATAAAAAAAAATGGATTATAAGGTTTTCTAAGAAGAAGGATGCTGTTGGTCTAATTCAAGTTTTGGTTCTGGAAATCAAGTTCAAACATAAAAACAAAGCCAGGCTGAACAGAGAAAAGCAGCCAGTAGTTCTTAGTTACAATAGTGACTACTCTGTGGCTGTCAGGGGAGGCATTTATAGCCAGCATTGTAGAATATGGGGAACCAGTCTGGCAGTACAGTCCATTAGACTCCATCAATCAAGGAAAATTCCAGGTAAGTTGCTGCCAGAGGATGTAGGAAGCGCAGGCTCCAGGAGCAACAGTTATGTCAGTTCTAGACTTGTTGGGACCACATCATTTATGATGCTGCACCAGATGTAACGGGAAATTGACCACTGTTCTATATATCTTGATGGGGAAACACCATGTTGGCTCTTTGCTAATTAACTCCTGAGGCACACTGTGGAACTAAGCAACTTTTGTCTCCTGGCTCACTGTGCACATTTATCATTAAGCTAATTGAAAGTGTAAGTAACATTACTGTAAACCATATAACGTTACAGTATTGTGCTATGGCTGCTAGTGCTAGCCTGTAATTTGAGGATTTTCCCCTAATTTTAGTCAAATTTTAGAAGGCTTCCCTCCCCTCTTTTTATATTAAATGAAAAGCTTTATATCTCAGGGCTGGGAAGGAAGCCAGATTCAAGCAGTCGTTAGGAGGAGCTGAAAAGTGCTGAGGTCTGCAGCTGTTTCTTGCAAGCCTGCATTCCTACTTATTGCAATTAATAACCATATAATGGATTTCATCTAGCAACATCCATTAAACCTACCTAGTAGAAATTGGATTAAGAGGAGAAGTGAGCCTGTTCAACGTTCCCCCCTCCCCCGTTATTTTGTCAAATACTTTAGCCACAGAAAGATGTGAGCTCAAGATTGCTCAATTTTGCATATCATAAGTCATCAGCAAGTCTGGTTGATTTTGGCTAGAAATTTATTCTGTAGAGCCATATGGTTTTATTTTTTCAGTTTATTAGTCACTTGCTACAGAAAGTCTCTAAATTACTTTTAAAAATTTAAGAACATAATCCAAATCAGAAGGTAGGGGAAACAATACGTTACAATTAAAAACCATACTAAAATCCATAAAAGAGACTCAGTAAAGCAGCAGCAAGAACTGTATAATCCAGCAACATCTTCTTAACCAACCAACTTCTCAAGGTTGTTGCACTGAAAATGCATCATAAGCTACCCAGAAGCTCAGATAGGGTGGTTGTAATTCTTATATAATATGTATGTAGTATGTAACTTTTGATAGTTTGATGCATATATGCTTTTAAATGGTTTGTGAATTTTACCCATGTTTTATTTGTGTTTATTTGTGCACTGCTAGGATAATTTTTTGATGAAGCAGTTTATACATTTTCTAACTAAATCAATAATCTTTACAAGTCTTGGTTAAACCAGAGAAATTAAATATAGTAAAGGACCAAACTAACTCCGATGTGTAACCATCTCATTTGGAAGCGGCTTTTTCAAAAGCAGAAGTTTCACAAGAGCTATGACTGATTGAAAGACTAAGAATCTAAATTTGTTGACAAAACATAACAAGAATGAATTCATTTCCCCTTTTCTTCCACTTGAGAATTTTCCAGGCTATTTTGTTTTATCCAAGCAACTCCCACAACAAAAGATGCAACATTCTGACTCACTATATCCCTCTTTTCTGCTTTTGAAACACAACTGGGAGAACTATTAAGTCCACGTGCATCCTGCAAAATATAGATCATCAGGCCAGAATAGTGCTCCAGGAGATGTCTAAATTCCATCTCATCAAGAACAAAACTAATTTGTTGTCTTGCAGGAGGAATGGAGATTTTTCAGAGTAGCAAATCACATTCTGTTTTTCTTTGCTTGAACTTGAGGTTTGCTGTTTAGGGTGTGGTAGCTTACAGAGCAAGTGTTTGGCATCAGCCTCTCCTTCTGATGTGCTTAGCATTTCAACCCATTGGGTTGGATCCAGAGTGAGTTAGTTGCCCTTCATTTCCAATTAAACCAGTAAGTCATGCCTAGGGATGCACAGAAGCATTGGTTTCCATCATGTCCCGTGTACATCACAATCAGCACTGTTTCCATTCTGCTACAGTTTAGCTTCTTCTAGAAGCTATGTTATTCTCACTAGCTGCTGTGGCTAATACTGACATAATTAATTACTGTACTTGATTAATTTCAGTGGAAGGGAAACCTCAAGTAATGCAGAAAATAACATAATTATTTATGTAATGTTTGCAGACTAAAACACACACACAAGGAAGTGAATACTGCTTGTAATTGCTTACATTCCTGATTAATTGCTGCTCCTCTTTCCATTTCCGATGGAATATCTCTAGTCATGGCTGACTTGTCCTGTTGAATTTAATGAGACTTCAGTTCAGCTAAGTTAGCCTGAAACCGATCCATTATCTTGTGAACTGCCAGATTAAGGGCAGTATATAAATTTAATAAATAAAATTTAAAAATAATCCTTAAGAGCAACTCTATAAGTGTACAAGCTGACATGGAGAGAGTATGTGACTTGTGAGTTCGTAGCAGAGAATGAGACTTGAACAAAGTAGTCTTGATTGTGTAAGCCAGTACATGGTTGAAGTTCTCTATCAGTTGGGTGAGCTTGAGGCAGGTGGATCTCCAAAATTAATTTGGCTCATCTGTTAGCATACGATTTGTGGAATTGAAAGGTTGGCTATACAAACATTTCTTCTCTACAGGGTCACTTTACGACTCACCCAGGTTGAACAAGTTTGTGTGAAGTGTCCCAGATTCATTTCTCTGCACTCAATTATTGCAAGTATATTTTCTTTCAGAGCAAGAAGAGAGAAGAAATAATAGCATTACTGAAGAAACAAAGGGAAGAGAGGATTGCGGTAAAATGGAGTATTATTCTTAATGCGGGCCAAAACTTTGGGAGGTTGGATTTTTGTATTTATGTTTTGCATGCCATAGTAACAAGAAATGTTACATATTTGATGGGCCAGTAGTGATAATGATACTTGGTTTTGTTGGCGCCTACAGTGTGACTATAAACCTTTTTGAAGTAAATGATATTTATTTCTCAGAAAGAAATGATATCTGATCCATATAAGCCAAAGATCAGACCTCGTGAAAGGTAATATTGCTTTATTTCTTGTTTGTCTCTAATCATTTTTATAATTTTTGAAATGTGAAACCTCCAGTTTTCTTTGCACCATTGCAACTTATCACACATTTTTACAGGATGCTGTTGTTGTTTAGTCATGTCTGACTCTTCGTGACTCCATGGACCAGAGCACGCCAGGCACTTCTGTCTTCCACTGCCTCCCGCAGTTTAGTCAAACTCATGCTGGTAGCTTCGAGAACACTATCCAACCATCTCGTCCTCTGTCGTCCCCGTCTCCTTGTGCCCTCCATCTTTCCCAACATCAGGGTCTTTTCCAGGGAGTTTTCTCTTCTCATGAGGTGGCCAAAGTATTGGAGCCTCAGCTTCACGATCTGTCCTTCCAGGGAGCACTCAGGGCTGATTTCCTTAAGAATGGGTAGGTTTGATCTTCTTGCAGTCCATGGGACTCTCAAGAGTCTCCTCCAGCACCATAATTCAAAAGCATCAATTCTTCGGCGATCAGCCTTCTTGATGGTCCAGCTCTCCCAGCTCTCACTTCCATACATCACTACTGGATACTAGTGATGAAAAAGCCAGAGTTTGGGTGATGTGCACTCATAATTGTCAGTAGGAATTTTTCTAGGCCAGGGGTGGGAAGTAAATACTCAAAAGCATAATTAGCACAAGAGAGCAGGCTTTCTATTTCTGGTAGGTCTGGTGACTAAATGATGGCAAGTTCTTGGTAGACCTGGTCTCTGAGAAACTTGTATTCCAAGTCTCTCCACATAAAGTCAAAATCCTCCATTCCCACCCCCACCCCCCGGCTCTCTTTACGCCCTCCAACCCTCAGGTTATTGCACTGCTTCTACAGCCAATTCCCCACACACTCTTCATTTCCTTGGGAAGAAACCAAACATGCCAGAAAAACAACTGTGGACTACACTTCAGGGTTGCCATATACTACTTTAATTCCCTGCTTCCTCCAGCAAAATGGATAAAACAACACTGGCTTACTTTCCAGGGCTGGCTTAATCCACACTTTCTCAGGCACATCCCTGCCAACGTGCGTATAAACAATGATGGAGTCGATCTGCATTGGCAAAGTAATTTCATTTTACTATGAAAATCTGTTTTTTTCTTTTAGTCTTAAAATGACGGGTTGGGGGAAGGATTATTTATGTGCCCAATGGGCAGGCTGAATAGGACTGGGGAGATCATTGAGGCACACACTTCATAGTAAAATGAAATTATTTTCTCCAACACTGACTAAAACATGTAAAACCTGGCAGCATAAAGTAGCAGGTCTTATTAATTATTATTGGCAGGGTTTAGATTCAGCAATGGGGGGGGGGGGATAAAGCCATAAGAAATTAAAAGCCACATCTTTTAAAAAACTACCCCTCTGGAAGAGCTGACTTGGCATCTCACACACTCCTTCACTCAGCAAATTCTTCCCTTCTATTGTGTTAATTGATAGAATTTTTCTCAGCCAGGGCAGCTTATGACCCGCAAGAAAGTAGAATTCAAACCCCCAGCTTGTTACAGTTTTGTAAAGAGCTTGGGGGTTAGACTAAATGGGTTTCTGGGGCCCCCTCCAATTCTAGGATTTCCTGTGGATTCTGCAAAAAGAAAAAAGAGGCTGCTAAAAGCCTGCTGCCGCTACATGGGAGGCAGACTGAAGAAAAGGAAATAGAAATTGGCTCCGCCCCATAGGGCTTTAAGGTTTCCAGCTATGAAGTTGCATGCGTTTGCACGAGGGCCCTTCCGAGCTGCCCTAGCTATCCGCCTGAATCCAAGAAAATGAGGGAGGTTTGGGTGCATTTATTTGACCTGCACCAAAACCAGGGGCGACCCTCAAACAAGCTATAGGGACAGCTTGCCATAGCTTTTAGCACCTCCGCGGGCAGTGAACACAGCTGTTGTCAAACAGGCTGCCCCGAGTCACCCGGCAACTTACTGTAACAACTTCATGGTAAGTTCCAGCACACATGGGGGGGGGGCGGGGAGCATGTCATTAGAATGGCTGAAGGTCCACCTCCCGCTTTGTTGGGTTTCCTGGTACCTTTCCCCGAGAAATCCCATGGCAACTTCAGTTTCTGAAAAGCCTCTTGATAAGTGCTTCTTCTATTGACACTTCATCTTTCTGATATATTTTTTTATAATCTTTTTCAAATTCTTTTTTTAATTTCTGTAATGTTCCTTATTGTCCTCTCTTCTACTTTTATTTTATTTATTAATTTTTCATTTATTTGTTTCTTTAATTGCCAGGCAAGGATCTTGCCTGGTTTATTTGCCCATTCAAAATTTTTATATTTCCAAAATTTGATTTGTTGTTCTACCTCCTGTTCTATAATTTTATTGTATTCTACTCTCAGTAATTTAATTTCTTGATTTAATCTCTCTTTATTTTTGCTTGCATGGGCCAATTTTTCCTTCCTTTTAATTTCTTCTAAAAGCTCCCTTTTCTTTTTTTTTCTTTATCCTTATATGCTGTTGAGTTTATTGTATGAAATATCCCCTAACAACTGCCTTCCCAGCATCCCACACTGTTTTTACATCTGTCCCTTTCCTCCAATTGTTTTCAAAATATTCCTTCATCAACTTTCTGGCTCCTTGTATTACTTTTTGGTTTTTTTAATAGGAAAACATTCATTCTCCACCTTTTTTCCCCTTTCTCCTCTTTTCCTTTAAGAGTTGGTTGTTCTGGCTGCAGCGGTTCCTACTAGAAATGACATCTAAGATGGATGGTGGAGAATGCCTTATTTGTTCCAGCTGACTTTTTGGAGTTCATCTAGGCTTTACCGTGCTGTCTTTTTGCAAGACATTCTTCTAAGATCAATCTCCTCCTCCTCTTCCTGCCTGCACATACTGCATCCATTTCAGTGGTGCTTTTGCTGGGAATCCCAAGCTGCTCCCATGAAATGATCTGAAACAATTCCTTCTGCTTGCTTGTTCTTACTCCCGGGTCCTCTCTGCCCACCCCCAGTCCGGTTTTTCATCCAGTGTGGTTTCCTTACTATGTGGAGAGAGATCTGCCTCTCACTGGATCAGTGAATTCCCAGGTAGAATTTCCAGGCCCATCAATGTGCCATAGGAGGTCCGCTAGCATGGTCAGCACAGTGGTTAAAGGCACACAATCCCTGAACAAAGACACCATTATTTGGGCCCATCCTCTTACTAAAGTATTTGGGGGCTACTCTTGTATATCTCACTGGGAGAAAGTGAGAATGGATGTTCTTGTTCAAAAACCTTGGCAGTTTTCAACGATTCATAGACTGATGACTCCCCTCTTTCTTCTTTCTGTCTCACTGATTAGTCTTCATACTCATTTAGCCACGTCCTCAAACTAAATATAGCAGAGAGGTAGAAAAATTCACTTCCTGTAAAGCCCTTTCCCTCCCTTTCACCACTCACAGAAACAGCTTCCACTTCTTCTCTTTATCGTTCCAACTCCATAGCAAGGCAAAATTTAACTGTGCTGCATGAGGTAGGAATGGGAGAATCTGTCAATTTCAGCATCCCTCAGTTTCTTGTTTTTCTGGTCAAGTTCAGTTCTTCACATTTCCGCATCAGTTTGCAATTTTTTTTAAGAATAAAAAGTTCTCATGAAATTCATCAGCACTTGCGTGCAGAATTCAGCTACTATACACATTTCTATACACTTTTGTCTAATATAATGCATTTTTGTATGCTATTTTCACTAATATATGCAGTTATTTTCACACTTTGATATACGGTGGTATCTTGGTACTCGAATGGCTTGGCTCCCGAATGACGGGAACCCGTAAGTAACTGTTCCTGTTTGCGAACGTTTTTCGGAAGCCAAACGTCCACTGCAGCTTTCACTTGAGTGCAGGAAGCTCCTGCAGCCAATCAGAAGCCGCACCTTGGTTTTCAAACGGTTTCGGGTGTCTGAGAACCAGTGTGGTGTAGTGGTTAAGAGCGGTGGACTCGTAATCTGGTGAACTGGGTTCGCTTCCCCGCTCCTCCGCTTGCAGCTGGTGGGTGACCTTGGGCTAGTCACACTTCTCTGAAGTCTCTCGGCCTCACTCACCTCACAGAGTGTTTGTTGTGGGGGAGGAAGGGAAAGGAGATTGTTAGCCACTTTGAGACTCCTTAGGGTAGTGATAAAGCAGGATATCAAATCCAAACTCCTCCTTTCCTTCTCCTTCTCCTACTCCTTCTCCTTCTCCTTCTCCTTCTTCAGAACAGATTAAGTTTGAGAACCAAAGTACCACGCAATACTTGGCTGGAGAACTGAATTGCAAAATTTTTATGAGTGAGATTTTCAAAGAATAGTTGTGTTTCAATTCATATATTGTTTCAAAAAAGTGTGGCAGCTACTAACTTGTATTCTTAGTGCATTTTCTTGATTGGTTTCAGCGAAATTAAAAAAAAGGTACCAGATTCCGACCTTGAGGATAAAGAAAGTGTAAGTGCTTTACCTTGAGCGTTTTGGTCAACGTGAACAACTTGGAGAGCGATGTCTTTGTCCATTCGGAAATCCTGTCCTGTTCTTCATCGTATTCTGCCTTGGGCTCTTCGGATGCTGAGCCCTTGAGGGGTTCCCTGGTTAACTTTCTTCCTAAAGAGTTTGAGAAGAGTGCCCTATGTCAGAAGCTAATAGATTCTTCAATTTGGCTAGTAAATTTATTAGTTTGTCATGCCAGGCAACAAGGCATGGTTAAAAATGCTAAATACAATAAACAGGCTTTGAAACACCAGCTTGTATTGTGCATGTTGAAAAGTTAATCTTTCAGTGGTCTCAGGAGTGATATTTCTATCATTTTCTGGTTTGGTAGAGGCCATTCCCCCAAGATTCAAACCCAGATATGATGTTTCTCTGTGACAAAAATTGTGATCAGGAACATGTAATGTACATTTTTAAGAAAATGTCTCTCCACAGAAACATGTCCACTGAAATAAAATACTCTAGTTTTCAGGGTTTCATTGATGTCCTATTGTATTACATCTCTAAGGCTGCAATCCTGTGCACACTTCTTGGGGAATAAGCTCCATTGGGACTTAACTTCAGAGTAAATCTACATAGGATTTCGCTGCATAGTAACCACTTTTCTCTGGCAGAAAATTGTCTAGTGAATTTTGCGTAGAATCCCCACTTCAGTACTGTCTTTTCCCTGCTCTTTGGCATTAATGCATGGAGATAAATTAGCAAGAGCTAAATCTACCACCTTGTTTTCAGTATGCACAAATTGACACTGTTGAGTTGTGGGGACAAGAATTTTTGTTCTATTATATGACTTTAACAATACAGTCTTAAAACCATGAAGAAAATAGTTGGGATGGGTACAGCTGTGTCAGTATTGAAGAAGAAACTTTTTTTGTCCATCCATATAGAGCCTTGCAAAATATAATATATTTTTTTTATAAATGTATGTATTTCAGATCTCTCAGAGACTTGCCTTTATTCTTTCCAGTTCATAGATAGGCAACTGAGTCTGAGAGCATGCATTGCAGAGGATGCTTAGAAGATTACATACAAAGGATGTAATGCAGACTGCTTTTTCCTCCCTACACTGATTTGCTAAGATCTATTACAAGGTCTGTGTTAATGTAATAAGTTTACATTTTTCTGTGTCATTCTTGATTTTTATATATATATAAAAGCCTGATGGCCTTGCAACACACACCCTTTTTGCTTTGTCAAAATCAGCAGAAATTTAATTAACATTTCTTTGCTCAGCTTCTGCAGCAAGATTTCAGGTCAGGTTCACACATGGTTTAGCAGGGGCTCATGATGAGTGAGTGGCATAGATAGAGAGAGAGAGAGATCCTGCTAATAATTCAGGATCCTACTTAGAAAATCGCTGACACTTCTTCCAGAGAATGCGTAGCAGTGTGTTAATATTAGCTCTTTGAGCCATTGCAATGCAGCTTTCTAGAAATGCCTTGAATGCAATTAGGGAGATGATCAGAATGACTAGTATTCATCTATGGAATTGCTAAGAGCAAAGCTGCATCATTTGCCAGAAACAAAACTTTTAGATCATAGTGATCAAGTGGTATACATGTTTGAATTGGCCCCGAAAACACCTTTTGTTTTTCATGATAATTGGGTGAAAAACTTGAAAAATAGCAGAAGGTGTTTTATCAGGTTCCACACACACCTCGAAATTGGAGCAATTTAGATTTCTGCATCCTACTGTGAGTTGGCTACTGGAACTACCACTTCTATTAGCTTGCTTGCTTTCTGCTTCTCCAGAGCAAAGGATCTGAAGCAGTGGGTTCAAATTACAAGAAAGGAGATTATGACTAAACATTCGAAAGAACTTTCTGACAGCAAGAGTTGTTTGACAGTGCAACGGACTACCTTGAAAGGTGTTGGAGTCAACACCATTGGAGGTTTCTAAACAGAGTGGATGATCAGGGATTCTTTAGCTGTGATTCCTTCATTGCTGGATCTTGGACTAAAGGTAAAGGTAAAGGGACCCCTGACCATTAGGTCCAATCGTGGCTGACTCTGGGGTTGCAGCGCTCATCTCGCTTTATTGGCCAAGGGAGCCGGCGTACAGCTTCCGGGTCATGTGGCCAGCAGGACTAAGCCGCTTCTGGCGAACCAGAGCAGCACACGGAAACACCGTTTACCTTCCCGCCAAAGCGGTACCTATTTATCTACTTGCACTTTGACGTGCTGTCGAACTGCTAGGTTGGCAGGAGCAGGGACCGAGCAACGGGAGCTCACCCCGTTGCGGGGATTCGAACCACCAACCTTCTGATAGGCAAGTACTAGGCTCTGTGGTTTAACCCACAGCACCACCCACGTCCCGAAGCTTGGAGTAGGTGACTCTTAAACTCCCTTCCAACTCTACAGTTCTATGATGTGATTATTATAAAGTGCTCACAAACAGCACTTGCTGGGTGTTTAGACCAACAGTTTAAACCTGAAGGTTCTCTTTGCAAACAGGAAGAGCCCTGCTGGATCAGGCCCATGATCCATCTAGTCCAGCCTTCTGTTTCCAGTGGCCGACTAGGTGCCTTTGGGAAACCTGCAAGAACAGCCTGAGTGCAATAGAGCTCTCTCCTCACTTGCAATTCCCAGCAACTGTTACTCAGAAGCAAGCCGACAAAACTTTGTTATAAGGAGGTTCCCTGTCCCACAATGTACCTCTTTATTTTAAGCCATGATGCAAGTAGCATCTTGAGTCTACTTTATCTTCACTTTGGCAGCTAGAAACTGTTTCCAAGCCTGGATGAGCAGAAACATGGCTGGGAAGCCAGGAAGCAGGTGCAGTCCAGCTCCCCAACCCTCCGGAAAGAAGCGGGAGAAATGCAGGGTCAGCATTCGGACACTGGAAGTGGTGCAAAGGAAACTTTCCACTCAGACTGCTTTCTTCCCTTCTGCTCCCAAAGCACAAGCCAATACCAGATCTCTTGCTCTGGAGCGACAGGCTCCATTTAACCTGGATTCAGCCCATTGGCTGCTAGAAATGAAATAAGAAACCATACAGCTGAGAAACCTGGCAGCCTGGGCAAATAATGAAGGTGGGTTGTGTGAATGAGGTTCCTCCAAGTACTGCAGGGAGTTCACCAGCACCCATAGTGCTTCAGTGCCTTGGGCCACTCTGGTCTCCAGCAGAGTGATCCCCCAAGCTTTGTGGGGTGTGTCAAATCACAGTCTGAGCCAGCTGTTTCCTTGTCACATGACCTCTTGACCATCCACCTAGAGGAGACAAACCTCAAGACTTTGGGAAAGATGTAACTGCTGTGGACCAGCTGATTTGCATGCATGCAGAAAGTCCAAGTTTCATTCCTTTGCAGTATCTCCAAGTTGCAATGAGAGGGACTCCCTTTTTGATACTGGCTGCTGCCAGTCAGTGTGGAGGATACCATTCTAGATGGACCAGTGAGTCATTACTTGGCACAAGGCAACATTCTATATTCCTAAAGCACGTTGGCAGAGCCCACGTATCTGTTGGAGTACGTGGTGAACAGCTGGGGTTGTTTGGGTAGTTGTGAGTTGTTTGGTGAGGCCTTATGAGGAAAGGTTGAAGGAGCTAGGTATGTTTAGCCTGGAAAAGAGGAGACTGAGATGAGCTATGATGATAGCCATCTTCACATATTTCAAGGGCTGTCACATGGGAGAGGGAACAAGCTTGTTTTCCCCTGCTCTGGAGGGTAGGACTCGAACCAACAGAGTCAAGTTACAAGAAAGGAGATTCTGACTAAACATCAAGAAGAACTTTCTGACAGTAAGAGCTGTTCAGCAGTGGAACGTCTCCCTCTGGAGGTGGTGGACTCTCCTTCCTTGGAGGTTTATAAGCAGAGGTTGGGTGGCCATCTGTCATGGATGCTTTAGCAGAGATGTCTGCATTGCAGGGGATTGGACTAGATGACCCTTGGGGTCCCTTCCAACTATAGTGGTACCTCGGGTTAAGAACTTAATTCGTTCCGGAGATCCATTCTTAACCCGAGGTACCACTTTAGCTAATGGGGCCTCCCAATGCCGCCGCACCGCCGCCACACGATTTCTGTTCTCATCCTGAAGCAAAGGTACTATTTCTGGGTTAGCGAGGTCTGCAACCTGAAGCGTCTGTAACCCGAGGTACCACTGTATACAATTCTATGATTCTATTGTCAGGGCATCCTTGCCACCGCTTGCTGGGCGGGGGGGGGCTGTAGCATTGTGCAGGCCAGACCTGCAGCGTTTCACTGCCGAGTCAACTTTCGGATCCCCATCTGCACGGGGAACATTCCTCATGCAAAACCCTTCGCATTCTGTTTTCGAAACGTGTGTCTTATGAATGCTCCCCCCACCTCCCCCAGAACCCCAGAACTTCGGCAGCTTCTTCCCATGCATCAGTTTGGCACCGAGCTCCGCTTTGGCTACCGAAGCATCTCTCGACCCCTCTCGGCAGGCATGTCGAGAGAGTGAGTGCCAGTGTCCGCGCAGAGCCTCCCCACCCCACCCGCGGGGCTCTCCGGCGTCCCTCCCCTCGGCTGGCCCCTGGCCCGGAGGCGGAGCCGGCTCTGCTGCCGGCGCCACCGCCGCCGCCTTGGCTGCTGCCAGAAGCTCGCCCGGAGCTCGCGCTGCTGCCCTTGCGCTGCTGCTGCTGCCAGTGCAGCCGCGCGACATGCGGCTCCGGGGACGCGGCGGAGGAGCCGCTGCGGGGAGCAATTTGCTGCTGCTGCTGCTGCTACTGGCTGCCTTCTGCGGGCCGGCGGGCGGGCAGGGGACGCGGCTGCTCAGCGGTGAGTGCCTCCCGGGCTGGGCTGGGCAAGCGGATGCATCAGTCCCGGTCCCGAGTTGGCTGGGGAGAGAGGCAGGCGCTGCAGGCGCGGCGGTCTCGGGCTGGTCCCCTCCTGTTTTGCAGCGGGTGGGGGGAAGCACCCGCACCCGAGAACTGAACGCAAATGCAAAAGTTAAGGTGGGACGATCTGGAGCTGCGTCTCCGCTTTCTGGAATGGGGGAGCGCTTTGGGCATGGGGTTGGGTACTTATCCCTGGATTGGGGAGGGGGGGCATTAAATCATTGGGATGAGCCCCGACTGAGAAACCTGCCTATGGATGAGGAAAGTGGTGCATTAACTGGGGGGTGGGGTGGGACAAGATTCTGTGTTGGAGAGAGAACAGTGGGTGAAAGAGCAGCTTCAGCGGTGCCCGAGGTGGGGGCTAACCCCTCCCCCCCCCATGGCACTTTTATTAATGCGCACACAAAAATACTACTGCTGCTGCAACAACGAGAAGCAGGCCGGTTGTGAAGGTGCAGAGCTTTCCCCTCCCAGAAATGGAGGGTGGCGGCGGGGGGGGGGTCCTTCTGCATGAGAAAAGCGGGACCAACGGCCGGCCAGTTTCTAGAGGCAGGGAGGCAACCAAAGTATGCAGTCCTGGCTGTGTGGTTTGGCAGTCTCCATCCCATCGAAAGCCAGGGGCTATGCGCTGCCAAAGTTGTGTGCAGGACTGCGCCCAGAAAAATGTTGATGGCACCCC